GCCAATTATCCCAATAACATTTATTGAATAATTCTAAAAAAAAAAGGAATTTTTTTTTCAGATCTTTGATCGATGTAGACTTTTAGTGTATGGTGAGAGATGGGGCTCTAACTTTATTTTCTTCCAAACGGATAGCCAATTATCCCAATAACATTTATTGAATAATTCTACCTTTGGACATGTTATCAGGAAGGGCCAGTCCCTGCAGAACGACATCATGCTTGGTAAAGTAGATGGTCAGCGAAAAAGAAGAAGACCCTCAACGAGATGGATTGACACAGTGGCTGCAACAATGGGCTCAAGCATAACCATGATTGTGAGGATGGCTCAGGACTTGGCAGTGTTTCGTTCTGTTGTACAAAGGGTTGCTATGAGTCAGAACTGACTCCACAGCACCTAACAACAACAACCATTGATGTAAAGGCTTTATTATATATCTTATCCACTGCTCTAAGCTATGCAAGCACAACAGAGCTATGCCAAACAAACAAAAAAATACATACAATCACTCACCTGGCCTTCTTCATCAAAAGCCATGACCACCACAGCAGCTCCATATTTCTTAATCTTGCTGGCCTTTTCCAAGAAGTCATCCTCTCCCTCCTTCAGACTAATGCTATTGACAATGCACTTTCCTTGGCAGCACTTTAACCCAGCTTCAATCACAGCAAAATTGGAAGAGTCGATGCACAGGGGCACCTAAGAGCAGAAGGGCCAGAAAGTCACTGGAAGGCCATAGTCACCATGAATTCCCTTCAAGGGCCCCTAAATATTCCTAATCCTTCTTTAGGAAACAATAAACAAATAGTAGTAGTGTGACGGAGATAGGGTTTAAGTGTACTTGTTCTTAAAGCCAAAAATCGGCAGGAGTAATTTCCATCTTACCACAGACCCCATGCATGGGCTGAGAATTTACAGCTCAAAGATTAGAGCTAAATATCAGAATAGAATCAACCAGGACAGTTCACTGGCTTCACTAGTAGTTTACCCTTTGCACTGCCTAAGCCCTGAGGCAAATACCTTAAACAGAATTCAGGTATCTGTGATCTGACTCTGAGATTAATGTTTTAGCCTCATGCCCGTCCAGCCAAGTTATTCAATCTTCCCTTTAGAAAATCAAGTCCTGGACTTATATATATATATATACACACACACACACATATATATACATATATATATGAGTTTTAGTATTAGAAAGGAAAAGTAGTTCAATATTCAACAAATGCCTACAATTGAGTAAAGGACAAAACTGAAGCGTGCAGATGAGAACAGTTTCCTTTTGAATCTTCTCCATTCAAGGCTCTGTTCCAGGAAAGGTAAAAGTCATCAGAGGTAAAGGTGAAAGCATTAGATTGTTGTAGAGAAATGAAACGGCCAGCTGATCTAGCCGCCATTATTTAATTGAGTCATTCAATGAATAATTAAGTGCTACCACGTCTTGGGCCCCATGTTAGACATTGGTAGGCAAACAGGAGCTTGGCTTCACTGAGCTCATAGAGATCAATAATTAAACACATAATGATGTAAAGTGTGGTAAGTGCTAGAGCACAACAGAGGCACAGACAGCCATGAAAGCGTATTTCAGGGGCACCAGACTCAGCTAATGCACCTCAAGCACAGCCACCATCTGACTGCTATAATGCTGACAGGTTTCAGTGGAGCTTCCAGACCAAGATGGACTAGGAAGAAAGGTCTGGCAATCTATTTCTGAAAATCAGCCTATGGATCACAACAGTCCAACTGGCAACTGATCCAGGGGATGGCACATGACTGGGCAGTGTTTCTGTCAGTTGTGCATGGAGTCGCCAGGAGTCGGGCTGACTTGACAGCAGCTAACAACAAAACCCAGTACATGGAAGCAGGGGATGGGGACGGAGAATTTAAGGAAAGCTTCCCAGGGCAAGAAGCATTTCAACGGATGACTGAAGAATGAGTAGTCAGATCTTCTTTGAGCTTCCAATCTCTTAGGCCTTCAGGCACACCTCCAAAGGAAAGCAAAGAAAAGAACAAGGAATCTACTGGTTTTTTGCTTTTTCTTATTGTGCTAGTAATGAGAGGTTTGCTAAGAACAGCATTAAACACAATGACAGTACCAGGTCAATACTTTAAAGAGTTTGCTGACAGTTTAGTGCCCAAACCCTACTGCTAAGAGCACACATATGTATGCTCTACCCCAGCTGGTCAAAATTTAGCCTCCTACTAAATTTTGGTAGTAGGACAAAACCAGGAAGGACGAGAAAGAAACATGTATTTTAATAATCAGAGCACTAAGTAATAATGTCTTAAACTATATAGGGTCCTTCACAGTGTACTTTCATATACAGTCACTCATTTACCTTTATAATTCACAAATCAGGCAAAGCAGGCATGATTATTCCCATTTTAGAGATGAGGAAGGAAACTGAGGGTCAATAGTTAACTGACTTGCCTGGGACAACAACCCAAGTTTTCCAATTCCCGGCCAGCCCTCTTTCCACTATGTCAGCTGAAATAAACAACTGGCTCCACTTGATTTCAACTGACCTTGAACAAGTCACTTCTTTGAATCTTAATTTCTGAAAATATTTACTTGCAAAGAAGCAATGAGACTTTTCAGTAACATGTTTTTAAGACACAAATGAACAATGGGTTACTGTAACTCAGGGCTTACCACAGACTTCTAACTTAAGCAACTGTTGGAAGTCTAATTTAAAAAAACCATCAATTCTACCTGAAAAATGCAATGCTTAAAGCACTGGGAAGTGTCTTGAAAAAAGAAGAAGAAAGATTTGAAAAATAACTTCTCATCACACATTTAACAACAGAGAAATGAAGAGACATTTTTAAAAATTTTAGGACTCACCTAAAAATTTAAAAAGGAGTAACACTGAAATAAACTTTCATCTTTTTAAGTACAAAGGTAAAAGTTGACATAATAACTTGATTTAATGTTGTTTTATATTTTTGTCTTAACTGATAAGCCTCAAAAAGTTTCTTGGCCTGCAATAAGGAAGAATTGACTGAGTTCCTCTGAGTATGACAGGGATGAAACCAATGATTTGGTATGAACAGGTAAGTATATCCTCCAGAGATGTAAAAAGTGGATTCTTAGTCTCCCCAGATATCAGATGATGCTCAGTCAATTCTTGTGACCAATCATAGAAGCCCTGGAAACAGCTAAGCTGAAGTTACAACAACCCTCTCCAAAGTCTGGTTGATAAACCAGTAGCCATCAAGTTGATTCTGACTCATGGTGACGCCATGTGTTTCAGAGTAGAACTGCAATCCACAGGGTTTTCAATGGCTCTGCTCTTTTGGAAGTTGATGAGCAGGACTTTCTTCTGAGGAGTCCCTGAGTGGATTCAGACCACCAACCTTTTGGTTAGCAGCCGAGCAACTTAAATGTTTACATCACCCAGGGACTCCTTACATTAAAAAGACTACTATTAATCAAGAAAGCTGACAATCAGAAACTAATGTAGGAAAACAGAAAACCAGTTTATGAGTTAACAGATCAATGGGGCAACTGAAAAAGTGAAATGAGTGACAGAGCAAGACATGTAAATTCCCTTGATGGACATAAACTTTGTACAACCTTGGCAATGTCTGGCTCGGAAGCAATGAAGTTGCAAAATCTGGTCATTGCACTTGGGCCGTCTAGCATGCCTTCATCCATGTTGATATCCAGCACCTGGGCTCCCATTTCCACCTGCACTTTGGCAACACTCAGTGCTTCCTGACAGCGATGGAAGAGGAAGAAGTATTAGGACAGGGTGACTAGAAAAAGCAATCCCTTGTTATCCTCAGAAGTCCTCTGAAATTATGATAGACTTACTAAAGTCTTAAAAGAGAAAATTAGTGTCTATATTTCAAAACTACAAAGTCTAGATCATCATTTATATATTTTTAAAAAACGGAAATCTACATTTTATAACCTTAGAGTCATTTTGGTTCTTCCTTTACTCTTCAACTCTTATGTGTAGATCGTTATCAAGCCCTGCTCATTTTTCCCATGGGGAACCTCTTGAATTTACAACTTTCCTTTTTCCATTGCCTTCACCGTTTGCCCTGGTTCCCCATATCCCATACTAAAATCCTACAGTAACCTCATAGCAAGGCTCCCTGACTCTGGGCCTTCTCTCTTCCCATTAGTCATCACAGATTAACCTTTCTTAAACATCTCATCCATCCCATCATTTCACTATTCAGAATCCAACAAGGCTGTTTTCTGACCACAAAGAATCTAAACTCCTCAGCCTGCCATTCAAGGGCCTCTGTGACCTGGCCCAATCTTCTTCTCCAGCTGGACATCCTACTCCTTCCCTGCTGGGATCTCCACCCAGCCAAGCCTAGCTCCTAATGATTTCTGTAACACCCCTGCCCACTTCCACCTCTGTGCCATTGATCATGTTGTCTCCTCTGCTTGAAATGCATTCCCCTTCCCTTCCACCTTGTTTAAGGCCCAGCTCAAGTACAATCTCCTCCAAGAAAGGTCCTTAGGGAAATCACCCCAAACTCATGTAACTCTAGAGTTTGTTAAGACATAAAACATGCGAAGTGTTCACTGCAGGCTCTTAACAGGAGTTATATGAAAAGAAACGTGAGTTGAAATTAATTTCTACAGGTTTTTATTCTGGAAGGCTTTTCAAATGCTATAAATAATATAATTATATGTATATACATTAATACATTATTAATGCTATAATTAATATAACATTAATATAACATAAATATATGTATATATATACATATACATACGTATATAAAAAATATACCCCTCCAAGAACAGGATATAATATGCTGCATTTCCCTCTTACGGCCATTTAAAAAATATCTTGTAGGACCAGGATCCCATAGAATACATTTTGGAATAAATGCCCATTCCACAATGATCTGCTGCCTCTAAACTCCTACAGCAATTATAATCATTATCCCATGGTTTATTACATTATCATTTCCTTGTAATTTCATGAGTATTAGTTTATTCCTGCAAGTAGATTTTAAGTTTTTGGAAGTCAAGAAAGTTCTTATGTATCTCCCACTGTCCTCTGAACAGTGCTGGGCACAACATGCATGTTCAATAATGCTTTCTAACTGAGTGGTACAGCAGAGACCTTTTCTAAGTCTTCACTGTACACTCCACAGTGTAATGAAATAGCAAAAATGAAATCAATAGAAGATGTCAGTAGTCCTAATACTTTCATAGTCCAAGAAAACCAAACAGAAGTGTGCAGCAGTCATTGTGATGGAACAGGCACGAGACCCTCTGGCAAATGCTAAAGGAAATACCACTTTTGGTGACCCAAGGTTAGACAGTGAAAAAGGATTACAATGAAATTCAACAAATTCAAAAATGTTTTCCACTATCAGCAGTGTGTTAAATACTACAAAAAAAATTAAAAGAAGTCTAAATCATAAGCCTGTTCTTGAAGGGTTAGTTGGGGGAACATGACATAGTCATACAAAAAACTATTCAGCACTGCCACACAATGTATGAGTCAAATGCCAAACATCATACAAGCCTTAAGGAAAGGAAAAGGTCTCTGGGGACTGAAACAGAGAAAGCTAAATGACGACCACTGGGGGACGGACTGGTGGGAGCAGAGAGGAGATAGTAAGCAACAGGTTGGACAAGTCAAAAGACTTGTAAAACAGAGATGCCAATACCTGACCTGTCTGTTTTACAGAATAACAGTGTTAGAAGGACTCTTGGAAGCCCACCCTTCTCAGACAGTCTCAGAGAGATGAAGTGACTTGTTTACTGATGTGGGACCTATGCAAATAAGCAGAACTAGAACATTTTTTTCAGGGCAGTGCTCCTTCTACAGAGCCTGAGGGATCACTAAGTCACAGAAAACTAGAACCTAATGAGTCATTCCTACCTATCCCCAACCTGTGTCTACTGCCTCCCCCCCACTGTTTCTACTAGGCAGAGAGAGCAGAATGGCTAAGGGCATACGTTTGTTAGACTTAGGTTCCACCACTTACTTGCTGTGAAACAGTGGGTGAGCGATTTGACCTCCCCAGGCCTCCATTTCCACAACTGTAAAATGTATAATATTACCTATCTCACGGCACTGAAAAGATTACATGAGTAATGATGTAAAGCACTGAGTACAGTGTCTGGCATATGGGAAGACCTCAATAAACGGTAGTGTTCTTTTTAGTTGTTGTTAGGTGACACTGAGTCAGTTCAGACTCATAACCACCCTATGAACAACAGACCAAAACAATGCCTGGTCCTGTGTCATCCTCACAATCGTTGCTATGTTTGAGCCCATCATTGCAGCCGCTGTGTCAATGTATCTCACTGAGGGTCTTCCTCTTCTTCATTGACCCTTTACTTTACGAAGCATGATGTCCTTCTCCAGGGACTGGTCCCTCTTGATAACATTTCTGAAGAAAGAGAGACGAAGTCTTGCCATCGCTTCCAAGGAGCACTATGGCTGTACTTCTTCCAAGACAGACTTACTCGTACTTCTGGCAGTCCATGGTATATTCCATATTCTTCACCAATACCACAATTCAAATGCATCAATTCTTCTTCGGTCTTCCTTATTCACTATCCAGCTTTCGCATGAATATGAGGTAACTGAAAACACCATGGTTTAGGTCAGGCACACCTTAGTTCTCAAAGTTACATCTTTGCTTTTCAACTTTAAAGAGGTTTTTTGCAGCAGATTTGCCCAATGCAATTCATCTTTTGATTTCTTGACTGCTGCTTCCATGGGCATTGACTGTGGATCCAAGTAAAATGAAATCCTTAATAATTTCAATATTTTCTCCATTTATCCAGTTGTGAGGATTTTTGTTTTCTTTATGTTGAGGTGCAATCCATACTGAAGGCTGTGGTCTTTGATTTTCATCAGTAAGTGCTTCAAGTCCTCTTCACTTTCAGCAAGTAAGGTTGTATCATCTGCATAACGCAGGTTGTTAATGAGTCTTCCACAAATCCTGATGCCACATTCTTCACCATACAGTCCAGATCTCGGATTATTTGTTCAGCATACAGACTGAATAAGTATGGTGAGAAAACACACCCCTGACACACACCTTTCCTCATTTTAAACCATGCAGTATCCCCTTGTTCTGTTTGAATCAGTTCTGCATGAGTGCAATTAAGTGTTCTGGAATTTCCATTCTTTGAAATGTTATCCATAATTTATTATTATCTACACAGTGGAATGCCTTTGCATAGTCAATGAACACAGGTAAACATCATTCTGGTATTCTCTGCTTTCAGCCATGATCCATCTGACATCAGCAATGATATCCCTCGTTCCACGTCCTATTCTGAATCCGGCTTGAATTTATGGCAGTTCCCTGTCAATGTGCTGCTGCAACCGTTTCTGAATCATCTTTAGCAAAATTTTACTTGCGTATGATTTTAATGATAATTGTTCGATAATTTCTACATTCTGTTGGATCACATCTCTTTGAAATGGGCACAAGTATGGTTCTCTTCCAGTCGGTTGGCCAGGTAGCTGTCTTCCAAAATTCTTAGCACAGATGAGTGAGCACCTCCAACACTGCATCCATTTGTTGAAACATTTCAGTTGGTATTCCATCAATTTCTGGAGCCTTGTTTTTCGCCAAAGCCTTCAGTGCAGGTTGGACTTCTTCTTTCAAAACCAATGGTTCTTGATCATGTGCTACCTCCTCAAATGGCTGAACATCGACCGATTCTTTTTGGTACAGAGACTCTGTATCATTCCTTCCATCTTCTTTCGACTCTTCTCACGTCGTTCAATATTTTGTTCATAGACTCCTTCAAAATTGCAGCTCAAGGACTGAATTTTTTCTTCAGTTCTTTCAGCTTGAGAAATGCGGAACATGTTCTTCCCATTTCGTTTTCTAACTCCAAATCTTGAAACATTTCATTATAATACTTTGTCTTCTCGAGCCACCCTTTGAAATCTCCTGTTCAGCTCTTTTACTTCATCATTTCTTCCATTTGCTTTAGCTACTCTATGTTCAACAGCAAGTTTCAGTCTCTTCTGATATCCATTTTGGGCTTTTCTTTCTTTCCTGTCTTTTTAATGACCTCTTGCTTTCTTCATGTGTGATATCCCTGATGTCACTCCACAACTCATCAGGTCTTCAGTCATTAGTGTTCGACGTGTCAAATCTATCCTTGAGATGGTGTCTAAATTCAGGTGGGATATACTCAAGATCGTATTTTGGTTCCTATGGACTTGTTTTAATTTTCTTCAGCTTCAACCTGAACTTACATATGAACAATTGATGGTATGTTCTGCAATTGGCCCCAGCCTTATTCTGAATGATGATATTGAACTTTTCCATCATCTCTTTCCACAGATATAGTAGATTTGATTCCTGTGTGTTCCATCCAGTGAGGTCCATGTGTATAGTCACCATTTATGTTGTTGAAAAAAGGTATTTGCAATGAATAAGCCATTGTTCTTACAAAATTTTATCATGCGATCCCCAGAGTTGTTTCTATCACCAAGGCCGTATTTTCCAACTACAAATCCTTCTTTTTTGTTTCTAACTTTTGCATTTCAATCACCAGTGATTATCAACGCCTCCTGATTACATGTTTGATCAATTTCAAACTGCAGAAATTGGTAAAAATCTTCAGTTTCCTCATCTTTGGCATTAGTGGTTGGTACATAAATTTGAATAATTAATAGTCATATTAACTGGTCTTCCTTGTAGGCATATGGATATTATCCTATTACTGACAGCATTGTACTTCAGGATAGATCTTGAAATGTTCTTTTTGACAACAAATGCAATGTCATTCCTCTTCAAGTTGTCATTCCTGACATAGTAGACCACATGAGTGTCTGATTCCAAATGGCCAATACCAGTCTATTTCAGTTCACTAATGCCTAGGATATCCATGTTTATGCATTCCATTTCATTTTTGACAACTTTCAATTTTCCTAGATTCATACTTCTTACTTTCCATTTTCCCATTATTACTGGATGTTTACAGCTGTTTCTTCTCATTTTGAATAGTACCACATCAGCAAATAAAGGTCCTGAAAGCTCTACTCCATCCTTGTCATTAAGGTTGACTCTACTTTGAGGAGACAGCTCTTTCCCAGTCATATTTTAAGTTCCTTCCAACCTGAGGGCTCATCTTCCAGCACTATATCAGACAATGTTCTGCCGCTACTCATAAGGTTTTCACTGGCCAATTTTTCAGAAGTATACCACCAGTTCCTTCTTCCTAGTCTGTCTTAGTCTGGAAGCTGTCTACCATGGGTGACCCTGCTGACATTTGAAATACAGGTGGCATAGCTTCCAGCATCACAGCAACACACAAGCCATCACAGTACAACAAACTGACAGGAGCATGGGGCAATAAATGTTAAACATTATTATTCCCACCTTCTGCTTCTGCTTAAAATGCCCTCTGCTCTTTCTGTTAAATACATCGAATCTTAGAACTGAAAGGGACACCATAATGGTCATAAGAAACAAAAGTGTTTACATTGCAAATTGAAGAAGCCTCTACAGCTATGAAAGAGGCTTACTGGTGCAATGATTAAGTGCTCAGCTGTTAACCAAAAGGTTGGCAGTTCGAACCCACACAGCAGCTCTGCGGGAGAAAGGCCTAGCAATCTGTTCCTGTAAGGATTACAGCCAAGAGCAGTTCTACTCTGTCACGTGGGGTCACTATCAGTTGAAACTGACTCAAGGGCACCCAACAACAATATCTACAACTATAAAGCGGCATTAGTATTTCAGAAGGGGCACACATGCACAAAGGCATAGAGGCAGAAGGAAGCCTCCTAGAATAATCAGAAAGCAGATTAGGATGGGAAGGCAGTCTGGTGCCTAAGTAAAGAGAACGGAATGATGGGCTAAGCCATTTGGATTTTATCTTATATGAAATAAATAAATAAATAAAAACGCCACCCCATGACAGCTGCTGAATGGTAGGGCACCATGATGGAAATATATGGTAGCACTGAGCAGGAGCAGGAACAAAAGGGACGAGGACTGACAGGGAAACAGGTCAGGAGCCTACAACCATAGCAGGTTCTAATAACGTGACAGCAGAGGGACTGAGAAGGAAGACACACCTCTGGGAGATGCCATGAAATAATAAGCAGCAGGCCATAAAGGATGATAAGTGGAACTTTTCCTTGTGATTAAAACTAAGTCTGCTTTAGTACTGGTGTCCGGAAGACCTAATTCCTAAAGAGTACAAAACCTTATAAAGTGAGTTCAGTTTGAGGATATCACAAATATCATTAAAGTCTAGACCAAATTTCTCTATTTTTAACTTCATGTTTGCCTATCTGGATGTTCAGGGTAGGCACTGTTTGGATTAAATTTGGCTCACCCACAGTGACCAAGCTTAAAAACACAATGGCTAATGCTATCATGTGACCTTTCCAAACCAAGGGCTTCTTGCTTTCCTTTGTTTCTGTTTGCTTATTTTAGCCTAAAGGAGTCCTAGTAGTGCAGTGGTTAAAATGCTCAGCTGCTAACCAAAAGGTCGGCCATTCAAACCCACTAGCCATTCTGCAGGAGGAAGATGTGGCAGTCTGCTTCCATAAAATTTACAGCCTTGGAAACCCTATGGGGCAGTTCTACTCTGTCCTATAGGATCACTGTGAATCAGAACCAACTCAACAGCAGTGGGTTTGGTTAGGTTTTTTGGTATTTTAGCCAACTAACAGGTTCAATAATACCAACAACAGCTGGCATTTGATGTGGTCATGAGGAATTGAGCAGCAATTTTCTTGGCTTTCCTTTTCCTTAAAACGATTTGTGCAAAGCCAAAATGAAGGATATTCTCAAATTTTTAAGCTCACTTCACAATTAATAGCTAGAACCTGGATCCCTCCCATCTCATCCCACTTTATAAGCTGAAACAGTACTTTTTGAGAAATACTGACAACGGCAGCTTCGATTTTTCTAAGCCTCACCCTCCCACCGGCCCAGCTTGCTGTGAGTACACTTTACCACCGTTCTTCTCACACTTCCCAGCAGCTCTGCTAATAACACCATCAAAGGCAACACTGTTTCATTTACATGCTGTCTAGCCAAAGATAGGGCGGATGCCTCAGTGGTCTTATTAAGATGCTCACTTCATAGTTTCCTGCCATGATGAGTTTAGCAAACTTCCTTGATCCTGCAACGTTACAGCGCTCTCCAATGTTAACAAAGTTGGTGTACGCTCCAATCCTGAAGGGCTCTAGACCTTAAAAGGAGAAGCATTTTGAAAAATTTCTGAAAATGCATATGGATGACATGAGACAGACAGAAAACAAATGTTTTCATGAGAAAGAAGTTAGTGTGCCATAGCCCATCTGACCAGAGGGAAACCCAGGACCACTGCCTTCTCCCCCAGGGATATTCAAAGGTCACAGGAGGCTATTGGTTGCAGCTACATGTACAACTAGAATTCTCCCAAGAAGACTACTTCAGGGTTTTATCTTGCAAATTTCCCTAAAGGACTGAATCCTACCACCTCTGAGATCCAAGGAAAAATTACCATATTCCTATTTAAGAGAGTCTGGAGCAAAGCCATGAAGAAAGTTAGAATCAAAACAGGATTGCTCCACAGCTCTCTCCTCAGACACTGATTAAAACTAAAGAGAGCAAGCTTTCTTAATCCTAAAAAAAAGTGTTTAGAGCTTTACCTCATCTCTTTGTTCAAGAGTGTAAGAACCCATCCATACCAGCTGGACACATATGCAGGGCTGAATAGGGTCACAAGGAAGGATGCAGGCTGGGACCTGGGAGATAGGAGCTACTGTGGCAGTTCTGCCACTAGTGAGCTGACTCTAGACAAGTCACTTGGGCTTTTTGCACCCACTTCCTTATTTGGCAAGGGGTAATAACAGCTCCCCGGTCATAGGCCAATTTGGGGTAAATATCTGGTAATAAATGTGGACACATTACAGTAAGGTAAAAAGCAATACAATGTAAAGTATCACTACAGAAAAGGCCCTCACATGTTTTTGCTTTACTCATCACATTTAAAATATTAGGAGAGGCAGTCTGGCTAAATGGTTACAGTCAGGCTTTGAAGACAGCCAGCCATAGGTTCAAATCCCTGCCCAGCTATAAAAGAACCTACCTCATGATGTTATTGTAAAAATGAAACTAGATAATGTTGATAAGTATAAAATAAGCACTAGTAATCACAGTGGTTGTTAATAAATGAGAATGGCTTTTGAGTCCTTTGCCAGAGCCATCGGTTGAGGAAGAAACAGAAAGGAGAAAGAGATAATTAATAACTTTTTATTATACAGTAAAACCTGCAAAAGCCAGAACCTGGGTAAGGTGGAAACTTGTCAGAGAAGGAAAACTAAAATATTTTCCACTAAAACGAATAATAGAAAAATGGCAAGACCACACCCTGTCAAAGGCAGAAAACTTGTGAGACCCAGAAAAACAACACAATGCCATTGAGTTCCAGCTCTCATAGGTTTCACTGTAAAATAAATTATATTGCTATATAAAAATTTTATTATAAAATAATGATAAAACACTATCCCAGGCCATGTGTTCAATGACTGAAAAGACTCACTTTCCAGGATTTCCTTTTCCTTTGGTAATGTTCCTCGTGGCCCTGTCCTTCCAAACTAGTCTCAGGGTATCCCTGTCCTTAGTCAGACCCTGAGGTTCATAGGAAAGATAAGCAAGGATGGCATCGTTTAAATGCTAAAGAGTTCCTAAGTGATGTTCCTAAAAGCACTGCACACAAAACACTTCTCATCTATTACGAATGGGAAGTATCTGATATAAAAACTATATTTCTCTCAAGTTGGCAATTTATAAAAGAACAATTTAAAAGAGCATGTTTGATGTCACTCTTTTAAAATGTGATCGAAGGTGATTTTCAAAGCAAGCAGAAATAGCACATGAAATTCAAATTTAAAAAAAAAAGGATTCTTTCATTCTTACATAAAAATTCTTTAAAAACTTCACATCTAAATGGCTCTCTACTTGTTTCAATTTTTGTAAAGATTGAGTATTTTAATCATTAGTCCTGGGCTGAAGTCAATGCACAACTTTGAGCTTTAGGGAAAAAAAAAAACTTTCCTGCCACGCCTCTCACCGCTCTCTGATGAAGGTCACTTTCTCCTGGGGTTGGGAGGCAATCATAAATCCTACTTCTCCTACTCAGAACCCTTCTGGAGTGTAAACAGAAAAGGCTAGCCTGGAGCGGTATGTTTTCTAACCCAACTTCACACTCACTCACTGAGAATCATTTAACACAATATGTTCTGAGTGAGAAAAGTAGCTATTACTTTTGCTGTCACCTGCATTTTATTTCACTTCTCTTAGGCTAACATAAGACACTTTTAGTTTAGAACAATGGTAAATTTCTAAGTTATTAGAGCACACAACTCTCCATGTTATTTGCAAGTTCTCCAAGAATCTGTTCATACATTTTTTTTTTTTTTTTGCTTAAAGATACCATCTAGGAATATTTCATTAAAGTATTGAAGCAAAATTATAAACTTTAGAAGTTATTTTTCTAACAGTGAGTATGATCAACTACTCTATTAATGTTCCTTAGTTGAGCACCAAAACTCATACTGAAAAAGTGTGGCAGCCTACATCTCAGGGTTGTTGGGAGCCAAACAGAAAAATAAATACTACGACTCTTTGTGAAGCCCTAGACACATGACAAATACAAGATCACAACAATATTTTGGAAGTAAACAAATTTTTCTAGGAAGAAGCTGCTGCCATTACAAAACATGGGGCCTTGGCAGTGTGGGATTCTCAATAACTGTAGCAAACTTGACAATTAAACTGTTAGGCTGTGGCCAATGTTTTCAAAGCAGTACATGACAGAGACAAGACCACGTGAGTTCTATTTCTCACCTGGCCAAAGGCCTGCGTACCTTCATTCCCCTCCCACCTTGAGAAAAACAAAGCATTCTTTACTAGAATTCATTTAAGTGACGAGAAAAAATGTGTATTCTTCTTTGACTGAATAAACAAGTTGCTTGGCACCAAATCACTAACACTTAGACTAAACACCCTAAATAATTCTACAAATGGTTTCTGAAATATAAAAACCGTGTCTTTATGACTTACCAGACAGTAACATATGCCCTTCAAAAACAGTGGCAGGTGGAACCCTAGGCTTACAATTTTTCACAGCTTCAGCAATTTCCCTGAGTTGAAAGAGAAAACACTATATCCATTAACACAGAAGAAAATAAATTTAATTAAACTAATTTCCAGCTATGAAATTAAGTCTGTTTGACAAAATTATACAAATAATTGTATACCTGGTTCCAAATGTGCAGCAATAATTATGCCTTTTAGTTTTCCCAGTAATGCAGAAAATTAATCTATATACTTTAACTTTTATGGATCTGCCCAGTCTGCTGTAAACTGTACCAGTTTTTGCACTCAGACTTGAACTTAAGAGATACGGTGGTTTGCGCAAATGCAAATAGTAAACCTCCTCCCTGCTATCCCAAACCCAGAGATGCCCCTTACTCTGCAAAATCCACACATGAAATACGTACTTGCTTCTTATTCAATAGTATTTAAAAAAAAAAAAAAAAGTCTGCTTCAGCTTTGAAAAGGAGGAACAAGTGGGAGAGGAGGTGCCAGCAGTGGAGAGTTTTAAGTCCTGTAGGTCTCTTTTTTCTAAACATAGCAACAAATAGTAGGGAGGGACGTAGGACTAGCACTAAAATTTCAAAATAATTATTCCTAAAAATTGGTTTTGTTTTAGTTATTCATACTCTCCTTCAGTTTATCAGCTTTGATCAATTACGTCTTTGACCAACCAGAAATAACTAGCTACTCTACTAGATTTATCCGGACCAGTAAGAACTGCGCACTCTACTGCCCTCAAATTAGTATGTGGATGTCAAAAGTAAAAACAGTATGTGTGTGTGTATACAAATACGTATATATGCATACATACATATATATATAATATATATAATGTATAGACAGACATTTTCAAAGCAATTCCTCTTTCAAAAAGGGAGGAAATAACCTTAACAAAGAGAGATCAGCTGTGATCCAAAGACAAGCTATATTCAACTAGTGGTAGCTTTCAAATATTATTTTCTAAATATTAAAAAAAATCATATTTGTTAAGAGCCTATTACAGAAGTTAAAAGTAGTAAAATCTTCGGTAATTCAATACTGTCATTTTTTATGTGTATAAAAACAAAACAGTGACGCAACTAGCTCAAAATCTGGCCTTCCGTCGCTCTAGGGAAAAAAATACAAAATAAGATCTACTCTGTTGAATTCCAACCCTCCTGTAAGGTACAAAGTCAAAAGGAATTAAACACATACTTAAACATGTTCTTATTTCATGCTTCCTTCAAACACTCACCCGAACACATTTATTAAGCTCTGACTGTGTGCCAGACAAAGCAAAAACACTTCTCTTGATCTCAAGTCACTTGTAGGATTATCATCTTTTCCTTCCCTGAGAGGCTCTAATGGAAGCACGTATTTGTCCCCACAAGAAACATAAGCTTTCCCTCCTTGAACACTAAAATATTATTCAGGTATTTAAAGATGGAATATTATAATATAAATTTGCTTTAAAATATTCCAGGAGAAAAAAAGTTTAGAGATAGATAAAAATGGCAAAATGCTAAAAATTATGAAAACTATGCGACAGGCACATGGAGTTCATTTTATGATTCTTCTACTTTTATCTTTGAAATTTTTCATAATAAAGTATTTCAGAGGTGATTATTACCTGATATGATCTGGTGTTGTACCACAGCATCCACCAACTATATTGACCAAGCCATCCACAGCAAAGTCCTGCATTTAGAAAAAGAAAGTTTCAGAGAGTCCATCTGAACATCAGAACTCTAAACTTACCACTACCAATTCAGCAAGAAAAAAAATCTACTTTTCCTGAATAACTAAGCTGACATTAAGAACAGAGCTAAACATACTTAACCCTGAATGTAAAGTTTTGACATGCCCTACATCTAAGGTTAAAAGTGGAGGAGAGTTCAGATGAAATCCTTTATACTACTTTAAATGCAAAGGAAGATTTATTTCCCTAACTGATCAGATTAAAGATTTTTTTACCCATGTGCTGAGCTGAATGAATGTGATCTGGATAACGCACTTTCAAATAATGAATCAAACGAGTATCAGTTTAAAAATTTAAAATAATTAAAATTTCAAAAAATTAAAAATTCAGCTCCTCAGTCACACTAACCACATTTCAAGTGCTCAAGAGTCACATGTGGTGGAGGCTACCATGTTGTGGGTGAAGGTCCAGAGTCTCACCATAGGCTGGTGAGTAAAGGACAAGGTAACTGAGAGGGCAAGACAAGGAACTGAGAAGTCAAGGTATTGAAAAGATCATCTGCTTAAGATACTGAAATCCGAAGAATTAAGTCCAAAATCATATAGGAGAGAATATCAGTGAGTCAGAGCTAATAATTCAAAAAATGAGGAAAAGAGACCCAAGTGTTAGTGGATGAGTGCAATAAGGAGGGGTGGGGGGCAGTATGGTCTGATGAGCTAGGATTTAAAGATGGGGAGGTTTATGAGAGAAAGAGAGAATGGTGGAGGTGGCAATGAGAAGCAAGCAGGACATCTACCCCACCTCCAGTAGCCTGGGAAGACTCTACCACTTGGGAGGACCCAGAGGAAGCAACGTCTCAAAGCAGAGCCAGTTTCAGTTAGTTTGGGTTGGATCTCATTAGGAATTTTCCAACAGCCACTGGTGCCAATAAGGGATAAGGATGTTGACAGCGAGCCCCTACCCCTGCCTCCACCATCTTAATTCAGAATAGCTAAACTTTTATTTGCTTTATACACACTGGGATTTCTTTGGGGGAAATTCTTCTTCTAAGTATTCTAAATCTAAAACCCCATTTCTCTATCTCTTAAGAATTCAACTGAAAGAAGGATCCCTACCTTTATGTTCACGGCCATCATGTGAGGAGATTCATCATAGTCGCCAAAGGTATTGGGAAGACCTAACAAAGTACATTTCAACCACTATTAGAAACGACCCTAACAAATAAACATCACATTTGCAAAGGCTCTAACTGAAAAAGTTAGGAAAATATTATACTTATTAATTTACTACATTATATTTATTTACTTGCAAAAATAAACATAAATTCTTAATATTTATATAATGAACACATGCCACGTACAAAACAAAAAATCATACAAAGAAAATTAAAAAAAAATTGAAAACAAAGAATCACTACTCTAAGAGAAAGAGTCTCCACCCTCCTCCCTTCCTATAATGGAAATTGTTTCCTGTTACATAGCTGCTTGCGGGTGGGAGGGAGAATACTACATATGCTTTGAACTAATGAGAATCTGATATGCTATTAAAAAAAAAAAAAAAAAAGCCAGTCCACTTTCAAATAAATATTCCCAAGTATGACTATCCAATTTCCTATTTTATTTATTATCCCCTTCCAGTTGTCTTACTCCTGGTGGGAAAGAAAATCTATTGCCCATTAAAATGTATATATTTGGAGAAAGAAGCCTGGAAAATTATGTTTTAGCCCCAAGTAGCTAAGCAGTGCTCAAAGACATTCACCAGGAAATCTAGTTAACCCAGCTGGATTACCAACATTTAATTGGATGATTTGAGACTTGTCTACAAATAACTTAGGAATTTCTACATATAGTAAACTAGAAATCCTAGCTTTTAGAAAGGAAAAAAAGTAACAACACCCAGGATTTTTCTTCTGCTCTTGTGCCAACATAGTGGAAAGGAGAACTGGCTCCCTTGCCTCTTCTTTGTAACCATCTCTTTGGCCACATCCGCACGGTGAGCACTGTCACCAAAGGCAAGGTTCTGGTCAGTTATATGACTAAGTGTCATTCCTTGAAGCTAGGTCCAATTCCAAGACTTTCAGGCTAGGTTCAACTATTCCTTTAATCTAGAGATAAACACTAGTCTAAAATCAAATACCCTTCATTTATAAAATGTCTGTTGAGCATCATCTATATGCCAAGACCTGCAAATAGACTCTTTCAGTCAAGACCTGTTACCATATCTCTCCCATGTCTGTGCATTTGTATTTCCTGATGGGAGGCCCCCTCTGAAACACATACCTGCATTGGGATAACAAAGCACATAGGCTGTCGTACATTTTCCAATAGTTTCAATAAAAGGTCTCATCTCAGTTGCACCCAGAGCACAATTTAATCCAATGCTGGAAAAACAAAAAGAAGACATTAGAAGCATCATCTTTCATTTAGCATTATTAATCCATATAAAAAGTTACGGTAAAGAGAAGAATATATCTAAAACCAAGCCGATGATAAATCTTCTGAGACATCCGACACTACTTAAAGTAACTTGACTCAGCTATAATCCAAGTCATCTCACTAAGGTCCCCTGAGGTCCCAGGTCCACTGAATTTTTTTGTCATGTCTCCAGCTTCAGATGATCTTACAGCTAGATGACCTTGCCTGTGGATGTGGGTCCTTAAATAAGCTCAGTTTGGCTAACTGTACATTGTGAGATAAAAATGCCAGCAAACTACCACTGCTAATGAATATCTGACCTAAAGGAAGACTTAAGGAAAGGGAAAAGGAAAATCTTGGAGGTAGAGGGAACATGAAAAGGTAGAAGGAATCTACCCTAGGAATCCAGAAGACCAGGACTTAGCCCTGTTCCATAACTCACTTGCTGGGTAACCTTGAACAAAGAACATATTCTCTTATAGGTTCAGCTGACTTCTTTATCTATAAAACTAAGAGGCTCTCTTTTCTTCAAATGAAACTTAGAAAGTTGGAATCAAATCAAACCCATCAAAGCAGAGCTCCTCTAACTGAAGTAAGGGTGGAGGGCCTGAAACCCCTCCAACCCCAGAGGCCATCAGAAATTATCTGTGAAACTACTGGGCTATATAATCTTTTACTTTTTCATATTTGACTTTTCTCCTTTTATTTTTATTTCTAAGTATAATGTGGTATCCTAGATTGGATCTTGGAAAATAAAAAAGGGGATTAGTGGTAAAACTTGGTAAAATTTGAATAGTCTGAAGTTTAGTTAATAGTAACATAGTCTTAGTTTTGACAAATATACATGGAAGATGTTAACATCAGAGAAAACTAGATGAAGGATAGACGGGAACTCTGTACCATCTCTGTTACTGTTCTGTAAAAATTAATGCAAAATAAAAGTTTATTTAAAACACAAGATTCTGTGATCTCCGGTGCCTGACAGAGCCCCATCTCAGTTAAGATTGCTAGGTCCTATCCATGGCTGTTTATAAGCCTCTATTTAGTTTAGCTATTTAGCTATTTCACCAGCTCCATTTGGAACACCTCCTTAATTTAACTGTATTTCCTTTTATCTTATGCTACTGTCACCAGATTCAGCACCAGACAATACACTGAAAATTTTAAAAAGCATTAAAAGGATTCTAGTCTTTTTTCCAAACTTAGTCCCAATCCTAACTTGTCTCCTTAAAAGTTAGGTGACCTCAGTTCCTCACCTGTTGAATCAGGAAAACAATGCCCGATCAGCTCTCGGGGTTGCAGAGAAGTTCAAGTGAAATATCATACATGCAAATGTTTTATAAACCGTACAGTTCTTACACTGCTATTACCTCAGTCTGATACATCCATTCTGTCTTTCTTTGCTTAGAAAGCTCTTACATGTATTTTTAAAATCTAGCTCAAGTGTCACCTTCTCTACAAAGCCTTCCCTGAATTCCACAGGCAGCACGATTACTCCATCCTATGTAAAACAAGATTTTTATTCATACTTCTGTATAGGACTTTGCATCTCATATTGTAACTTACTAATGCATTTCTCCTAGCGTGAACTGTATTTCAGGGTACATAACCCGTTGTTGTTGAGTCGATTCCAATTCACAGCAACCCGACAGGACAGAGTAGAACTGCCCCATAGGGTTTCCAAGGAGCGGCTGGGGGATTCGAACTGCCAACCTTTTAGTTAGCAGCCGAGCTCTTAAGTACTGGGTCACCAGTGGTTAATAATGTTTAATAAATGTTTCACGAATTAAAAATAGTAATAATCACATAAAGGTTCTGTCCCATTGTTCTTTCTTAACACATTTTGTGACAATCACAAATCAGTAAGCAATAGTTTAACAATTCACTTTTTCATATATTGTTTATTTTTATTTTAATTATCCTATTATTTTTTTTAACCAGACTTCTCTACATGGAATCAACCCTTAGTACTGTACCAGAAGGAAAACTAGATGGCACCACTCAAAAGTTCTAAACAGGGAGCACAGAAATAGGATCTGATAAAATCCTCCAGTTCCTGGGCTGCCTTCTATGTGTCCCTTCAATCTGTAAGATTCATAACAAAACAGAACCCAAATATATCCTCTCTTTGCTGTAAATGAATGTTGAAGGTATAGAAAAGACTATAGGATAACAAAAAAAATTAACCACTGAGTGGACAAAAAGTCAGAATTCACTGCATGTTTCCTACAAAGTAGAAAAATAAATTATTTAGAACCTCAATAAAATCTCATCCTTGGGCTCCTGAAAATGAGGCAGGGGCATAGGGAGCGTGTCCTCTGAGGGCGTCCGCTGAGACTTCCAGCAAATTACAGACCTGGGAGGAAGCCTGAGATGACACTCCCAACAATACAGGGGTTTTACCTAACAGCTAAAGGTCCTAACCAAATAACAACTAAAGACTAAGCAAAGAGGTGGGGAAGAGAGGGGGAAAAAAAAAAAAAATGAAGGGAGGAATGCTCAAAATATTTGAGAAAGGGCAAAAAATTAAATTAGATGAAGTTTGCTTTCAGAGATTCCTCACTTTCCTGCCTTCAGTTTTTCTATTAAATGTTTATTGAACCCCTACTATGTGCCAAGAACTCTATTAAGCACTAGAGAAATAAAGACAATTAAGACACTGCTCTGGAAAAGCTCATAAGCTCCTGAGAAAACAATCACAATCCACGCAGTCCAACAGTTTATTTTCTTAATTTTCAGGCACCACCAATTGTGTAACAACACACTCTAAATTAATAAGTAATAATAAAATAGCTTTTACGAAATCATATTACTACATTACATCAACTGTAAGATACACTTTGAAATTAAAAACATTTAAATATGAAAAAGATGAGCACATAATTGAGAAAACGTCATATAACACAGTGGTTAAGAGCAAACTTGTATCCTTAGACTCACTACTTACTTGACTTTGGGCAAGTCACAACCTTCTAGGTCTCTGCTTCCTAATCATTAAAATGAGGATGTTAATAACAGTACTAACAGCAAGGTGGTGTTGCTAGAATTAAAAGAAATAATTCACTTAAAGGACTTAGAACAAAGCCACCACACAGCAAACTCTCAATAAATGTTCACTACTATTATTTTTATGACAATTGCTGTAACAGAAGTAAACAGGTTTCTCTGAGAAAAAACACTGACCTAGGCTGCTGAGAGAGGGAAGATTCCCTGGAGAGAATGCTTAAGATGAGTCTTAAAGGCAAAGAAGAAGTTAGCCAAGTGAAAAGACATAGGATAAAAACAGCATATCCTCTTGGAGATTCCACTTCAGTCATGTATGTAATTTAAAACATTTTGATATAAAAAAATGAAAGCAGGATTCTAGGAAGATGGCAGCATAAACAAACCACTGTTCCAACCCTCCTCCACAAGTACCAAAAAAAAAAAAAAAAAAAAATACAACACGGAAACATTGCTAGGCTTTGAGGGACTCTGAATCAAGGGAGCGGAGGAAAGCAGCAGGGAACTAGAGATAGGAAAGAATCAATAAATTAACAATGAGTCGCATACGGTAGGAAAATCGCTTCTCCCACCATCCCAGCCTCTCTCTCAGCCATGTGGGCTGCCAGCTGCTGTGAACTGGTGAAGTGGCTTCCCTAACCACCACAGCTTCTGTCTGTACAAAGAGAGGACCCCAAGCTTCTGTCCTAAAATCAACAAAGTAGACCTCCCCAGGTGTCCATTCGGAGTGTGCCAGCACCTCTCCCAACCAGACAGTCAGTTGCAAGCCTACTGCGGATTACCACAAAAGGCACGTGTAGTAGAGTCTGCTCTCATAGTCAGCACTCTACCTGCCTCCCTGAACACCCCAGAGCTCAGATTTCTGAAACCAAAAGGACAGATCTCCCAGGGAGTCAGTTCTGATCTGTCTGCTCCCCCATTTAGTTAATGCTGAGGACTGCTGAGACTGCTGTGTGCCAAGAAGCAGGCACCTTTAGTGCAGGCCACACCCAGAGCCAACATACTCCAGGGAGGTCTCTGATAGCTATAAGGCAAACCTCCCAGGGAGTCCATTTGGAGTGTGCCAGCACCTCTCCAACCTAAACACTGTTGAATGCAAGCCTACAGTGAATTGCTACAGAAGGCCTGTGCAGTGGAGTCTGATCCAACACTAATCACTCTACTGGACTCCCTGCATACCCCACAGCTCAGGCCTCTGAAACTAATAGGACAGACCTCCAGGGGAGTCAGTTCAGGTCTCTCTGTCCCTCCTTTTTGTGGGTGCTGAGGACTACTGACTGAGGCTGCTGAGTGTTAAGAAGCAGGCATCTTTAATGGAGGCTACATCCACAGCCAACATACTATAGGGAGGGCTCTGAAAGCAACAAGGCAGACTTCCCTGGGGGTCTGTTTGGAATGTGACAGCCCCTCCTCTGCTCAGACACTGTCACGTGCAATCCTGCTGTAAACTGCTACAGAAGGGCCCTGCAGTGGAGTCTGCTCCCATGGTCAGCAATCAACCTGCCTCCTTGCACACCCCATAGCTCTGGCCTCTGAAACCAACAGAACAAACTTCCCAGGGGGTCAGTTAGGGTTAGTCTGCCCCCACTTCTGGTTGGCACTGGGGATTGCTGACTAAGGCTGCTGTGTGTTATGAAGCAGGAGTCTTGAGTGGAGGCTGAACTCACAGTCGACAATCTATCTGGGGGGATTCTGATAACAAGGCAGACCTCCATGGGGATCTGACCAGAGTGTGACACCCTCTCCCCATCTGGTAATTGCTGGTTGCCAGGCTGTTACAATCTGCTACAGAAGGTCCCCGCAGTGGGTCTGCTCCAGTGAACATTCTACCTGCCTCCCTGTGCATGCCATAGCTCAGGCCTCTGAAACCAACCCGACAGACCTCCCTGGGGATCAGTTTGAGTCTGCCTGCTCCCTCTTACAGTCGGCACTGAGGAATGCTGATTGAGGCTGCTGTGTGCTA